GAAAAATCAATGTGATCTCAGTGACTAAGACCGCATCATGGCTGCTGGTGCCAGACGGGCTGGACTGAGTATTTCAGAAATTGCTGATCATCTGGAATTCTCTGAACATTAACTCAAGCTCTTGACCTGCATCTGCATGATTTTATGCACTGCATGCTGCCATATGAATAGCTGATTGGATAAGTGCATGAATGAGAAGTGTGTTCAGGCCCGGGTAGCCTAGCAACCTGATGCTAGTTGAGTATAATCTGATTTAAGAATGAATCCAGAAATTTTTTTTCAGGAATCAGATTGGCATTAGCTAAGATTCTACTAAAACACAGAGAGTGCTATTTGGCCAAACTAACACTTTAAAATGGTGTAACTCTAGAAGATCCTTATGGCTTGCTGTCTTGTCAGTGGCTAAATGATTCTAAGCTGTGGACATACACACATATCTCCTAGAAGCTTTGAGCGTTTACACTAGAGATGAAATAAAAGCTTGTCTTGATGCTTATAACTTTGCTATTTGTGGGAACGTTCAAGACATAATTTCAATTGAAGATGGTTTCAATTTATGATGAAAACATCGAGGATGCAATCACAGTGAAAGCCAAGGTGCTGCCCAACCAGATGTCCACCAACTCATTTTGTTAGCTAAACAAATCCATTATAGGTAACTAATCAGTAAGAACGTGACCAAACTATCTAGCATTAGTTAGCTAGTTTCTTGATGTAGATTTTAGACAAGCTTCACAGGTCTGTTAAAGATATATATATTACACATGGTAACTAACTAGCAAGCTAAGCTTGTCAAATTCTTAGTTAGCAAGCCAACTTCATTGATATTACAGTTATCTTCTTAGCTGAGATGAAATGGGCACTTCAAAGACTAAAACCCAAACTATCATGTGTTGTGTTGGAAAGGGCTCTGATTCATTAATATGTGGTAAATACAAATGTGCTTATGAATACTTTTCCAATTCCGACACCCAACAGCACAATGCAACATTTTGGAAAACAAATTCTGGCTTAATCTTGAAAATCACTAGAGATAAATAACTCCCGGTTTTGTTTTTGTAACCAGGAGGCGCGGCTGACATCAGAGTGACATGTATCACTCAGGGTTGGTTGTCATATGTATGTTTAGTTTTCCTTGTCAAAATGACAAGGTGCCCTAAACCTACCAATGCACGTTAAATTACAGCACATTTGCGTCACAAATGGTGCCCTTGCAACCCAACAGGTCTGTGCACAATGACTTTAGCAAGGCGTTTCAACTTTAAAATAATATCACAAACTAAATAACAGCAGGCACCTTGCCAGGTATGAAGCAGCAGAGATTGGAGTCCACATATTTCATGAAGGTCATATTGAGCAGGGATAGGCGTGTTTCCACTGCAGCTAAGATGTCTGCATGGCGAGCCAGAGAGTGGTTCCTCCTCTCAGATTCCCGCCTAAGAGGCACGACAGAGCAGATCATTAATGTCACACCACTTATACATATACATTATATATATATTTTTTAAACAGTGCTTTTAAAAGTGTCAGCTCACTGCGATGTACTACATCCCTTCACTAATAATAAAAAATAAAAAAAAAGATGTCTGAACACACAAGGCTGTACTTCTGCTGGGGTCAGACAATCTTGATTACTTTCTAGACTGATTACTCAGACCTTTCTGAGTGTGCTCAACAGGAAGCTGATTCCCCCACCGAAAATGTAAGAAAGCCATTCATTTAGGTTGTCTGTTGTCATCTGGTGGTCATTTGTTTGTCTGATGAAAATGTGCATAAAAACATCTCTGTTATTCTTGGGTTTAATCTCACCTTGGCAGCTGGGCTTTGACTTGTTTTTGGCAGAGGCTGTGATAACGCTCCACTTTGAGGAATCCTTGGTTAAGCATACGTTGACAAATCATGTCCATGCGCTTACATACCTAAAAAGACAACAGCTATTCAGCCACAATATTTAGTCCTTGTACACAGAAAGATGATAATAGAGTGTCAATAAAACATAACCATTATGGAATATAATCAAGCTTTCAAGCTACTTATGTATATATATATATATATATATATATATATATATATATATATATATATATATATATATATATATATATATATATATATATATATATATATATATATATATATATATATACACACATATATATATACACATATACACACACACACACTGAGTGACTCTACACCAGTGGATCTCAAAGTGGGGTAATGTAATGTAAAAAGGGGGGGTGGAAACCTGATAGGTCACTTGAATTCAGTGAATTTAATCCACATCTCAAGAACTCAAAAACAAGTCGGATGATGAATAACGCAAACTTGAAACTAATGTGTTCTGCTGGTGGAAAGTTCAGCAATAAAAAGCTCAATGGCTCCAACAAATAGCCAGATAATTATTGAACACATAAGAATAATTAAATATTTAAATTGTAATATTTAAATAGTTGGACTTTTTTTTTCATAAAATAATTCTGTACTGAGGGGGTCCTTGAAATTTTACAGCTACAACTGTACAGTTAAAAGGGTCCCTGGATGCAAAAACTTTGAGAACCCCTGCAATAGGCTATACCTCAGAGGCTTTCATGCAACATTTATAACAAACAACAATACTATTAAATCTTAAATCTGTGGAATCTATAATAGTCTAAAACCTAATAATGAAACCCATGTTTTCACAAGCTTCTCTCCAAGCCCTTCTGACAAGCAAAACCCCATCCAGTACACAACACACAAGGTCCATGTCTGCCAGAGGTTTGAGCCTTTTAAGGAGAATAAAAACAGCACACAATATGTTTATGATTTGCACATTAAAAAAACCTGGAAAACATCAGGGCTTTAAGACCATTTATGTCCTACGTTCATAGGCAAGATCTGTGTCATATTGTGTCATCAGATGTTTACAGCATAAAATGAGTGTAATCTGATCAGATTCAGCATTTCACCTGGCACCCCTAATCATAAACGTGATATTCAAGAGGCATGAAACAAGTGTAAACAGTCTCGTTCATTCATCTTCAGTAACTGTGCTATCCTGTGCAGGGTCACAGTGGATCCGGAGACTGTCCAGGGAACACTGGCCATGAGGTGGGATGCCAGTCGATTGCAGGACACCATGTGCGTGTGCGCGCGCACACACACACACCCCTAAGGGCAATTTAAAACTCACCCGTTCATCTACTGGCATGTTTTCAGGAGATGGGAGAAAACCGGTAAACCCGGAGGAAATCCACACAGACACGGGGAGTATAAACAGACTCAGAGTGTAAATACCTTGTGATCTTAGGTTGCTGTTATGAACTACATGGTTTTTTTTTTTAACGTTATCTAATTTGAAGAATCAGTCCCATAAAACCAAATATAGAAAATAACTACAATAATTCTCATCCTGAGACATTTAACAAAGACTGCACAGAAGTCATATGATAGTGAATGCAGTTTTTTCTCTGTATTTCATAACCCATCTGATGTGTAATAAAGACAGCAATTGTATAGCATTTCCATTTTCCCCCCACTTATATTAATTATCACTGTTAACACTTGACTCACTGACAGTCTAATATCTTAGCTATCAAGCTAAAGTCTCCGACTTGCAATACTGAGCGTACATCAGTGCAAATACTGAGAAAAACTGAGATGTTTACAAGGTACATTTCTAGCTAGCTTCATAGCTAGAACGAGGAACAACTGCTGTATAAAGAAAACGTAGCATTAGCTAGCTAACTACTATACTAACTTAATTCCTCATGTCCTCTAAGGAAATAAAATGTGACGGCGGATTCAAAGTGGGTTTTACTCGGTCAACTGTATGAATAAACCCACCAGCCAGTCATTCAGATTTGAACACTGAATTTCTGGTTAATATACCCGCTTGCTAAGTTGCTTAGGCAGCCAGCATTACTGTACTGACCAAGAAAGCGCATACTTCCATACTACACAGTATGCCAAAACAGTACGCTAGCATTAGTGGCATACCGCTCTGCCATACTGCTTAGTACAGTAGTATGCGCTTTTTCCTAGCCTTTGTTTTTGTTGTAGTTAGCTCACCAGGCGCAGCAGACTGATTTCATCATAGGACAGGAAATTTAAAATGGTCTCGATGGCCACGATGGGAAGTCCGAGAAGCGGGTTGTTTTGATGAGGCTGGTCGGGTGGTGGAGACGGCAATCTCGGTGAAACCGATTCGGAATCGACAGACCCTCCACCTCCCTCAACTCTCTCCACAATAGCCGCCATCTTCTCTAGCTCAAGACTGGAGGAAGTGACGTCTGGCTGAAAAAAAACGTGTTCAGTGGAAGTAGGGGACATGACTTCATGATTTTACTGGGATCACAACAAATAAATCAGTGGTGTCAGTTCTCAGTGCTGGAGGGCCACAGGAGTGTCGCACAGGGTAGTGTTCTCCCTCACAGTGTAGCACAGGGTAGCGTTCTTCCTCATAGTGTAGCACAGGGTAGCAGAGGGAGGTCTAATAGTTAGTGCTAACAACATACTGCCGCAGCAGCTACATGTCTACTCCCCCAAAGCATCCTTCTCTCTAGCAAAGATACTGTGGGTTGTGATTTATAAAAAATTTAGTGAGGTCACCAGGAAGGACTATTACTTCCAAACAAATGTGGATGAGTGTCTCAACCTGTGTGACTCTTCCTGGTTTAAGGTACAGATATTGGCAGGTTCCACTGTCCCAAGAACCAGGACTAAAGGCTACAAAGGACGAAGTGCTACTGGAGAATGTGCTAGTCTGGGTTCTTGATAAAAAAAATTCTGCTGCATAGGAAGACTTTTCAGTTAGCTAGTAATGTGCTACACAATGTGCTGTGAAGGATTTGAGCAGCAGGACTGAAAAGATTGTCTGGATGTTTTCAAACATTGAGGCACCAATGTACAAGCTACCAGACATTGTAATTTACTTACAAAAAAGTAATTTATTTGTAACATTTATTTTATATTATTTGTAATAAAATAAATTTATATGTACATTTTAGTTGTTTAGGTCTCTGGACGTCTAGTGGTTAGGTTAAGGCACTCTCACTGATGCGGCTCGGGTTCGATTCCTGGCCAGGGAACCAATCCCAGCCAGTGGGGTTTCACATGACAGTGCACACTCAGTGCTGGCCCCAAGCCTGTATAAAATTGGGGAGGGTTGCACCAGGAAGGGCATCCAGTGTAAAACCTGCCAAATCAAAAATATGCCGACCAATGATCCGCTGTGGTGACCCCTAACGGGAGCAACCGAAAGAAGAAGAACAACATATGTACAGTTTAGTTGTTTAAGAATTTCTTTGTAATTTGCATTTTATGCAAGAATCCCTCAAACCACGAAATTATACTTCCAGGAAGAACTGTTATTGGATCTGTACAGTCAGTGAAGTCAGAGTATCCAGTTAACATATTTAACGCCAGTCACCTACCTGCTCCATCTGTCCATCACATTCAAGTTCAAGCATCCAGTGAAAGCACCCCCGCGCACAAACAATGGGACCCTCCTATTGATCTCACACCCCTAAATGAGCAACAGAGACAAATAGTCACTCAAATTTTAAGAGAGGAATCAGGATCATTCTCCAGGACTGATGATGACATTGGTTGTGTACCATATCTGCAAATAAAAATTTCACTAAAAGACAATGAACCAGTAACAAAAACATATCTTTCTGTGCCAAAGCCCTTGTATAAGGAAATGAAAGACTATTTGCAGGATTTGATACCACAAGGATGGGTTGAAAAATCTATGTCTTCTTATTCCTCTCCAATCATCTGCGTGAAGAAAAAGGACAGTACCCTGCGTTTACTACAGAGAACTATCGACTACAGAGAACTTAATAGAAAGACTCATCCAGATCGCCACCTGATCCCCAGGGTCCAAGTTGTAATGGATAATCTGGGGAAAACACCCTCTTTTCACTGCTGGACCAGGGTAAGGCATATCACCAGGGATTTATGGCCAAAGATAGTAGACATCTAACAGCTTTTGTGACTCCCTGGGGTCTATATGCATGGGTGCGTATCCCATTCGGGCTTATGAATGCACCTGCAGCATTCCAGCGCTGCATGGAGGAATGTTTAGAAGGCTTAAGGGATGAAATATGTGTGCCGTATCTTGATGATGTTCTTGTGTTCAGTAGGACATTTGAGGATCATGTTAACCATGTCAGGAAGGTGTTGCAGCGGCTGAAGGAGCATGGGATAAAATTAAAACCAAAAAAATGTGACATTTTCAGAGCTGAAGTTCGGTACCTTGGACGGATAGTGTCAGCGGAAGGAAACAGGATGGACCCTGCCGATACAGCTGCAGTAAGGGCACTGAAACACAAAAAGCCAGGTAATGTTGGTGAGTTGAGAGCAGTTTTAGGACTTTTACGTTATTATCGGCAGTATGTTAAGGATTTTTCACGTATAGCTAGCCCCCTATATGATTTGCTTAAAACGCCCAGAGGTACAGAAGTAGGAACAAGCCAAAAGAGAAAATGGCAAACAAAACAAACGAGTGGAGGGGTCCCGTTCAACACACCCATTGACTGGACCGACACACACCAGCCAAACCCTGGAACAGTTGATTGACTGCCTAGTCCGGCCTCCTGTTCTCGGTTTCCCAGAGTTTTCACAACCATTCTTCCTTCATACCGATGCTTCTGATCAGGGACTAGGTTCTGTATTGTACCAAAGCCAGGGTGGAAAGCTCCGTGTGATTGCCTATGGCTCCCGTACTTTAACCACAGCAGAGAAAAACTATAATTTGCATTCAGGCAAATTGTAGTTCCTAGCCCTCAAATGGGCAATTACAGAAAAATTCAGGGATTATTTGTATTATGCCCCGTTCTTCACGGTATATAGTGACAATAACCCACTTAACTATAGCCTCTCCACTGCCAAATTGAACGCAACAGGGTGCCGGTGGGTCGCAGAGCTTGCAGATTTTCACTTTACGGTCAAATACCGCCCTGGAAGGGAAAATATTGATGCGGACAGCCTGTCCAGAATACCTCTAGATATAGAAACATTCATCAAAGAGTGTTCAGAGGAGATGGCATCTGATGTGATTGGGGCAGCCACACAAGCGGTGGAAAATCAGAATGAATTCAGTGTGTCATGGTCCATGGGTGTGTCAGCCCCACCCGCAGCAATATCTCCAGAGACATCTATCATTCCATTAACAAGAGAAAAGAAATCAAACATGACCAAAGAAATGACTCCACTGTGGGACCAATTATCCAGTGCAAATTGACAGGAAAAAAAACCCTCAGGTCCACAACTTAAACAACTCGGTCCACAGGTGACATGCTGTGGGACAAGCTGGAAATTGAGAACGGAATTCTGTACAGAAAAACGGCAAGCAGAAAACAACTGGTTCTTCCAGGACAACATATAAGTACAGTGTTAAAAGAACTCCATGATGAAATGGGCCATCAAGGTGTAGACAGGACCACATCACTTATATGGGACTGATTTTACTGGCTGTATATGCAAAAAGAGATAGAGGATTATGTTATGAGGAGATGTGTGTGCCTTAAACACAAAAGACCCCACCATGAAACAAGAGCACCACTAACAAACATTGTTACCACTCAACCGTTCGAACTTGTGTCAATTGATTTTCTGCACCTTGATAAATGTAGAGGTGGCTACAAGTGTATTCTTGTAATTATTGAGCATTTCACACGCTTTGCACAAGCTTATGCTACAACGTCCAAATCAGGCAAAACTGCTGCAGAAAAGATTTTCAGTGACTATGCACTGAGGTTCGGGTTCCCAACCAGAATACATCATGATCAGGGTGGTGAATTTGAGAACCAAATGTTCAAACAACTGAAAGCACACTGTGGATTTGCGGGGTCGAGGACCACTCCCTACCACCCTCAAGGGAACGGACAGGTCGAGCGGTTTAACCGGACACTGCTCCAAATGTTAAGGACCCTCACAGAGAGACAAAAAACTAGCTGGAAAGACTCATTAAACAAACTGACCTATGCATATAACTGCACTCGCAGTGAAGTGACTGGTTTTTCACCTTTTTACCTGTTGTATGGGCGCTCCCCACGGTTGCCAGTTGACATGTTGTTCAGGTTGACTCCAGAGCAGGGAGACAGCAATCATCATAACTACATGGAAAAGTGGCAGGGCATGGAAGAAGCATATGAGATCACGAGAGAAAATGCTCAGAAAGCTGCATTGAAAAACAAGCGTCATTATGACAGTAAGGTGAGAAGTTCTGTACTACAGCCGGGTGATCGGGTTTTAATCAGAAACTTGACACCTCGTGGCGGCCCAGGAAAACTGAGAAATCACTGGGAGGATACTATCCACACAGTTGTGCATCAAGTAAGTTAAGACATCCCTGTCTATGAACTCAGACCTGAGGAAGGGAGAAAGAGTTCAAGAATCTTACATCGCAATCTCCTCCCATGTGAACTCCTACCTGCAGAAATGCCAGTACAGACACGGACAAAGAAAAGCAGCAAAATAAAAAATGGACAACCGGAACAGCCAGAGCAAGAAGATGACGATGATGAGTATTATCCAGTGCTAGTTCAGCAGCAACCCGACTCTTGCCCACCTGAAACAGAAAACCCTGTGTATATTGATACACCCCTAGTGCAAGACCAAGTGGGGTACTTTCCAGAAAGGGAGGACAGTTTTACTGAGGACCAATCTGTAGAAAACATTATCCACTCACCTGCTCCAAGTAACTCCAGTGAGGGAGAATTTCAGCGACCTCAACGACCACGTAGGCGACCAAGGGTTTTCACATATGATAGACTGGGCTCACCAACATGTTATAAGATGAGTGCACAACCACATCATGCAAACCTTGAAATGCTATGGACACCCACAGTGTTTCCATACCCCTTTTTCCAGCCCTATAGACACAGAGTTTAAAGGTCTGCAATAGCAAACACCCCCTGAACTGAACAGATGCACATCCATTTAGCACAGAATGGACTGTTCAACAGAGTTCACATTCCAAAAGACTGTTGAACATGAGCTATACTTATAGACTGGAAGTACAATTCAGATTTACCTCTATGGGGGACTGATAAGAACGATATAACTTATATAAGTGTGAGATAACATGGACAAAAAAAAAAAGGGAAAAATTGATATGGACATTGAAGTACAGTGTGTATTTGTCTATTTAAAAAAGAATGTATGAAAAGAGTTCCAGTTTGTAACTATAAGACATATGTTGCATAAGTGTCTGAAATGTTATAAGATTGTAATCTTCATTAATGACACGTAGCATAAATTTTGCACTAAGAGTCAAATATTGGGATGTTGGGGACAACATCTGTTTTGAAGGGGAGTATGTAACGGGTAGTATTCATAGTATTCATTACACTATCCAGCAGACATTAACATTAAGACAAAGTTAATACGGTCATAATTCGGTTCAATATACTTAAGCCATATTTCAATTTGTTCAATATTTTGTTTAATGTACAAAGTAATTTTGTTTTAACATTAATTGTGTTTGAAAGAGGGTGGAAATGGAATGGGGAAACCGTCAATTAATTAATTGTTTTATTTTGTCGTGTTTATTACAAGGAAGCCTGAATAGGCGGTGATCGGCAAAAGAGACCTGATCCGTTAGTCTGGGATCGACCGCTTATGTCTCGACTCACTTTCTCAGGTGAGATCGCTAGAGTTTCCTCATACGAGTAAATATTCTCACTGAGGAAACATCACAGCACCACTCGTGATTATTTCTCCCTGTTTTTCTCAGGTATCAGATCACTAGAATGATTATAATACATTTCTAAAATGGGTTTGAATGTTAAGAGTATGTGTATGTAATCTTTGAACGAGAAAGGGTAAAGTTTCACTAAGTGTGTTAATCCGTGTATATAAGCGAAGCACATGGTGGCCGGGCCTAACACATGGCTGTGTAATGTGATTTCCCCCATGCTGTAAAACTTAACAGCGCACATGTAATTTGTATTATGTTCCATATTGTTTATTTCGTAACTGTTATAAGTTTTGTGAGAGTATACTTAACCGCATTAATATTTTATTTACGGTTAGTGGGGAAGAGAATGAGAAATGTTTCAGGGAAATTTTGCATATGGTT